TGCGCCCGAAAAATCGGCCGTGGCGCCCACGAAATAAAGGCTCTACGCCAACGTGGCCCCTGAAAATCTCGATTTTCATAGGGAGTCACTTGAAGAAAGAATTCCAGATCTATTTGAATTGAAAAAAACTCAGAGTTGTCGGCACTACAATTAAAGCTTTTTTTATTCCTCACGATTTCATTCTTAGTGCTTTTGTCTTCCCCTAGTTACAGCTACGTACTAGTTCTGTTACAAAAGCATCTTGCGTCTAACTTTTCGTATACTAAAATATATTCGTATACTTTTGTAACTAAATACGCTGTAATGTACAGGCAAAAAGTCAATTTGGGCCCTAAAAAATCTTCAATGGCGTTTAAAAATTTAGCTTGATGCGCCACATGGCTCCTGAAACTCGAAGGTGAGTTTCGAACACTACCTCCGATGCCCTGAAGTTTGAAGTTTGATTGAATGGGTCTAGTTCAACAGGAGGAACGAGGTTTTCGGGGGAATTATCTGGGCTTAGGGTTGCTGGCGGTTCGGAAAACTGGGAAAGTTAGGGAATTCGCAATCATCGGGAAAAGTCAGAGGATTTCCAAGACATATACCTAACACAGTTCAGCGGAAGAATGCCCCAAAGCTTGTAATGTGATGGAATGGATCCATTTCAACGGAGAGGAACGAGATTTTTGGGGGATACATGCGGTCTCAGGGGTGCTGGCGGTTTGGAAAACTGGGAAATCAGGGAAAGTCAGGGAATTCAAGGGAAAAGTCATCAGGGAATTTCTAAGACATCTACCTATCAAAGTTTAGTGAAAGTATCAGCCTATTTCTTTCAAGCAAAAATGCATGGACATTTTGTTCAAAGGTCAGGAAATTTACAAAAATTTGAATCAGGGAAGAACAAAAACAGCCTGGGAAAAATCAGGGAATTTGAAGATGAAGAATTTATGACAACCCTAGGTCTGCTTGAGACAGAACTTCCCCTTTATTTTTCATACAGAAAATTTTGCTTCTCAAGTTGTCAATTTTCTTAACTGCAGGAGCTTTCTTTTTGACCTGAAATGTCAGATTCGAAGAGAAAATAGTGCTGTTTCGGAAACACGCGTAGGAAATTTCCACTGAAGTCTCGATTTAACTCAGCTGCGATAGCGAAGAGAGCCGTATTTGCAAAATAGAAGTTATGATACATTGGACCCTTTAGTTTTCGAGCGTACAATGAACAGTCTTCTAGTCTTGACCAGTCTACCATTTTTTGTAAAATTGTTAAATATTGACCTGAAAATTCATCAAAAAATTTGGGTGATTGAAAATGGACGAATTTCATTTTCAATTTCATTCAAAAGGGCCTTTTTCTTTTCCTAGGCTGGTGTAGTGTCATGGAAGACAGCTGTAAATGCTATGTTACTCTCTAAAATCTCTCGAGGTTGCGCTTTAGCCACACAAAAAACAAATTTTAAGACTAGAAATTGGTAGGAAATGGCGCCATTTTACTCAAAATTGCAGTTCTCATTGGCTCTCTCGCAGAGCATTTTTCTCAAAGTTTGTTCTCAGGGATGTTTATTTCCGAAAAAACATCAATTATTGCGCACATATGGCTTTCTCGTTGGTCTCGTTTTTGTAGAAATGAGGAGAATTTTGCTGTTTCATAAGGGAATTAAACGAGTTTTGAAAGTAATTCTTTCTTGGAAAGAGCGTTACGGCTCTCTTTGCTAACACGGCACGCAGAACTGTAAATTACTTTTACAAGGACTAAATAGATATCTTCGGTAATGCAGTCACGAACCGTTGCAAAGGAGGTTGCAACAGCTTTTAGTAAATTGATCGATTCACCTTCGCATTTGGCATTCCTTTCTCCGATTAGTTCTCTCATTTTATTTTTTGCCCGACTTATTCATCAGTCCACAACTTTCACCAGCGACGAGGCGTCAATGATCGATATTTCCTTGTTTGAAGCCATGGTAGAGAATCGATTATCAGGGCGTTCGTTGCGAACGTCCCGCTGATCGATCCTTTTCCATCGGTTTAAATGGCAGATCAATCGATGTATCTCAAAGCCTTGCATTCCACGGACCGTTTTTAATTTTCTTCGCAACCGTCGAAAACGCAATCTTTTAGACGATTTGTGACCCAAGCGAGTCAACGGGAGCTGGAACAAAAGTAACTTGAAACGAGTCCGACTTGTGTTAACTCTGCGTACAAGTAAACCGAAATGAATCAGCGAGAACGGAAACGCACCAACTCGGAAAAATAAAAATAATCAAGACACTCACAAAACTGCATTTTGAAGTTAGAAGTTAATTTAAGAAAAATATTCTTGCTGCCGAAAGACAAGTACTTTTGGACACTTTGAAGGTCCAAGCTGGAACATATGCGCTAACTCCAATGACTTTTAGGTAAATTAACTGTCTTTAATGGTGTATGTATGTCTGTATGAATGATGAGTATAACGTATAGGATTGTATTTAGAAGCGTAGGTTAAGGTATGAATGTCATTTATTAACAAAATCTTGTTACATTAGTCATAAGATAAGCTGTAAGCTTAAAGTAACAATTATGTAATTAATGCCCCGCAAGGGGCAGTGGTGCAATTTTAATTTAATAAAAAAAAAAAAAAAAAAAAAAAAAAATTGAGCATTTTCGAGTCACCGAGTTGGTCTGTTTTCGTTCTCACCGATTCAAGTAGAGTACCTACTTACTAGAGAATATGGACACGTCGAAACATGGAGTTCTCAGGGCCCAAACAGACAGACAACCTTCCCACACGAAAAGCACCAGGAGAATGCCATTCAAATATTAATCTAAGATGACAAATAATGTTCAAAAATTAGCGTCCTCCCGCAAAAGTGAGGGAAGGAGAGGTATTTACGAGGGCCGTGTCCAGTCCACCCTGAATTTCCTCTACTCCATGATTTTTTTTTTTTGCCATTGGAGGTCTCTTTATTACGTAATGCAACATGATTTGGTCCTTCTTGTTCTCTTCTCGGACCTAAAACTGGTCTAAACAAAGGATCTGAACTCTGGAAAAAAACACATTGGATCTAGAGTCCAGACTCTTAAAAACATTGACAAGAAAAAATACTCTTGATTCAATCAGATTTTTGCTCAAATCAAAAGGAAATCCGCTCAAATTAAGAGGCTTGTTCTTGATTGAAGCAAAAATCCGATTGAATCAAGAGTATTTTTTCTTCTCAATGTTTTTAAGAGTCTGTACTCTAGATCCAATGTGTTTTTTTTCCCAGTGAATACTGATTAGGCGAATACATGCGAAAATTATTTTGAATACGGACGCACTTTGTGAGCCGTCGCTCACATCTTCAGCGTGACGGCCATTTCTTGTACGGTGATATAAACTTCTATCTTAGCAAATACACAAAAAAAGCGAGTTTGCGGCCAAATGCCGAAAATTCCGCATTTTCCCCCTAGAATCGGCCCTCTAACCCATGATCAAGTCAGCATGAGACCTTAACAGAGATTTGAAATGACAAAACCATGATACACTCCGTAAAATTTACATCCTTATTAGTGAGAAAATTGTAGAGTTGAGGAAATTTTGGCTAGAGTGGATCCCAAAACGACCTCTATCAACATCCCTGCTTCATGTGAAAAACAAAGTTTAATAGGCACGTGCTCTAATTTTTTTTCAAATGATGGTTAATAGCAATAGGTATGGTTAATAGCAATAGGTCAGTTGCGCTGGTCACAGAATCGTGTTTTGATGCTTGATTCTTGTATAATGGCTAAAAGTAATGAGATCCGAACTGACAGCAACTTCCTACGTTAATTTAATATTCACCGAGATATCGCTCTTTGAAAAGGCGGGTTTTTTTAATGCATCAACCGCGGCAGTGACATCCTTGGTTTTTTCCACATTGCTTTCATCCGAGTTTCATGTTGAGTAAACAGTGCAAATGTGTGTATCACTGACTGATAATAGCAAAGTGGAAGCAACCAAGGGTGTCACTGCCGTGGTGGATGACGTCAAAAACCCGAATTTGCAAAGGGCGATACCTCGGTTAACATAAACGCAGCATGTTGCTTTTTGGACGGATCTTACTATTTTTAACTAATCTACGAGAATTGAACATCAACACACGATTCTGTGACCAGCGCAACTGACCCATTGCTACTACCCATCATTTGAAAAAAATTTAGAGCACGTGCCTATTAAACTTTGTTTTTCACATGAGGGAGGGGTGTTGATAAGGGTCGTTTTGGGGTCCTATAACAGAACTGCCGTGCCAGTGAAAAACGATGTGTGAATATTCGCTATTTACCACATTACTGCCGATGAGAAAACGAATTTTTTGGAGAATTTTTCATAGTTTGAGTATTTCACTCACAATTGAAAATATTCAAATCAAAAGGAACCACCTTAATTGTGACTCGGGCCCTGCCCCGTGTATGTATTTACGTGTGTCTCGGAGTCTACACCACAACAGAGATGGTTAGATTTTTCATTTGCGTATGCATTGAAAGAGGGGTATCGGTAAGGGCGGAAATTGGCCCACCCTTCGAGTCCCGAGATTTTTCAATATTTTCTAGTTGGCGACCGAAAAATTTATGTTGCTGCGAAATCTGAATTTTGTTGGTTTTTGAAACGGCCTAAACTTGGATGTAAAGGCCTAAATGTACTAAAATTTTCGTTTTTTCAGTGTTTCATGCGAAGCCAAAAAATGATCTTTTACCATCGGTCACAAACATATCCAAAACTCATTAACCATCACTTGGACCCAGCGTTGAATCAGATTTAAAACAATAAAATCACACGAATTTTCATGGGTTTTTAGTTTACGGAAGTTCGGGCCTTCGCCTCGAGCCAAAAAAATGTGAGTGTCAAGGAAACGCAAATATTTCTGTAAAAATAAATATATGTAGTGAACTCGAAAATATTAAAAAATCTCGGCATTCCGGGAGTTGGCCAATTTTTGAATTATAAGGTAATAGAAAAAGACTTGGGGTCGGTATCAAACGATGCGTACACTAAGACGAGACACTAATTCTTTGTATTTTCACTGTTACAGGTCAATATGGGTAGACTACGGACAGAGCGCACTTCATTTACAAGGTAGGCTCTTAATTCTAATCATGCCGTATACAGTGTTTGAAATTTTCCAGGAAGAATATTCAGAACTTTTCTCGAAAATGAATATATTTTCTGAAAAAATTTGACAACGTCCAAGTGTTTATATATTGTGTAATTCCTCAGTGCACCTGCGGGCTGTTTATTGAAATTGATGGACATAGCGATAGACAAAAAAAAAATCAACAACGGGGTAGAGGCGCTTTCCAGCCAAAAAAGAGGAAGTTGAATTGAGAATCGAGGGCTATGGAAATCATACACTTTGCCTTTAACTCTTGGGGGTGGAGGAAAGAACATCCCCGCGCAGCATTGTTTATCTATACCAAGATATGCGATCTGTATTGTTTGCAAATCTTGCCGCGCAGTGAGTTACGTCAAATTCCCTCCTTACGAGTTTGATGTTCTCTCTGCAGTTCCAATCAAAATCTCTGTGATGGATGATTGAAAAAAAGAGTAAGACAAGTTTTACCAGTATGGTCAATTCTGTCATAAGTCTACTTGATTTTTGACGCAGTGATACAGTAAGATAAAGATAACTAGTCATCGGGTAGCAATCGGGGGCGTTTATACACTACTTAACGCACTTTTCCGACATTTTCCCAAAATGCTGAAGTTTCAATTTTTCCCTCACACCCTCCCCTCCCCACGGAAAAAACAAGACTAGTGTTGAGCACTACTGGCCGTTTAGTGGGGAGTAGTTGAGGGCTGGCGTCTAAGCGCTGTACAGCTCAACACCGGAAGGCAGTTCAGGTGGGCACTGAACATGAGTAGTGCTAATCAGATGCCGCGAGACGTAGTTGCGCTTAACAGGTGTAAATTCACCCACGAGACGTCGGAGTTACGACAGCCTGGTGGTAACGCGCTGGTCTTCCACCGACGCAACCCGAGTTCGATCCCAGGCGGAGACGTTTCTTATTTTACGCTCGCTCCAAAGTCACTTTAGGGCTTGACACTACTTCTTCCTTAGTGACCCAGCCTCGAGCTGTTTAGTGCCCAGCACTCCTCTGACTTGCTGGCTCCATTTGACCTAACCCTCGTTAGTGCCCAGCACTAACATGTAGGTCCCAACCCTAAACTCGTTTTTTCCGTGCCTTCTTCTTAATCTTCAAAATTTGTAAACTTTCCAGGCGTCGGGCAGCTTTAATTTTTACCGTAGACCTGATGTCAGTTTTGGCACGACCTTCCCCACACCCCCTTGTCAGGTACGTGTTAGGCACATTTGGACTCCTCCCTCTCCTACGACCCTTACGTCATTTCGTCACCCTCCGGGCAGAATATCACAAGCACCATTTGTGCTTCAGCACAATGTAGCTAAACCCCTGAAACTTTTCTCATCGTTTACGGAAAAATTAATGAGCAGAATCACTCGAAAATATTCCCTTATGTTCCTACTTTGACCAAGTTTAAGTCCTGAAGTTTCATGTAAATGTGTGGAAGAATTTTAAAGAGAAAATTAAAACCACGAGGGGTCCGCCCCCTGGCCACTATGCGGCCTAACCCTCGGGGCGCTACGCGCCTCTAAAGGCCCGCCTCGCGGTCAGCAAAATCTCAAATGGAAAAAACCACAGTATTACTAAGATTTAAAAAAAAGAAAGAAATGTCGATCAACCCACTTACGGACTTTGAAATTCCCTTCCTCACCAGTGGCGTGGCGTGGCGTGCTTTGCAATGTATCGCTAGATCTCTCATTCAAACCTACGGAAAAGGATCGATGAGCACGGTGTTCGCTGCGAACACCTTAATAATCGAGTCTTTACCATAGCTTCAAATGGAGAAATATCGATAATCGATCGTTCACGCCACGCCACTGTCCCTCACCCCCAGGGTGTCTACAAGTCCGGATTTTCTGGAAAGTTCGGAAATAGTTCTGATTTTTTAAGGGCGGTCCGGAAGCACTGAAAAAGTGCGGAAATTCTGCAAGAAGGTCCGGAATTTTTCTGATTTTTTTTTTTGTCATTTTTGTCTCAATTTGAGCGAAAATCAATTTTTTTAAACTTCGTCAATAATTGGAAATACCGAAAAAGTTCTGAATTTTTCTGTCGAGGAGGTACTGAATTTCTTGGGAATGTACTGAGAAAGTACTGTAAAAGTACTGATTTTTGGTTAGCCTGTTTTAGTAGACACCCTGCCCTTCCTCAGCCCAGCCCATCTAGCTACTTAAACATGATTTTATTAGAGTAGAGAGGAGTTTGAGACAACTGGCAGCTGAGCGGGTAAGGGTGAATGGCGCTTGGGACTCTGCCCGGGAGGGTAGGTAAGGGTTTATGGACGGTCCCTCGGTCTACTGGAACAGCCTGTAGAAAAGGAGGTATTTTGGGTTGAGTTTGGCAACGACGCCCGGCGCGACGCGGCGAGCGGCTACGAGCCCGTGGCAGGGAAATTCTGGCGGTCTGGAAGCGGATGTCAGTCGAGTTGCGATGCTGGTTGCCTAAGCAGCCCCCGACTTGGTTCCTTCTCCGGTGCCGCTGTCCGTTGCAAGCCATGTGAACTGCCCCGAGCCGTCTGCCGACCCATGCCATCGCGTCCCCCTGTCCCCTCGCTAACGTGTCCCCCTGCGTCGCGGCTTTTGTTTGTTTCGCGTTGGTGCTACTGTCCGCTGCAATGGGTCCCCGCTAATGGATTGCTCTCGGAAAGGTTGGTCATTAGCTTGGTGTTTTCCGTGTTGCACGGTCAAAACTGTATGGCCTTTTAGACAATTAGAATTGAGCCCTTGCAAGTCATGCTTCCTTATCAAAATTTCACGCGAGACGCATAGCGCTCACTGGAAAAGAAAGTTCCTTGATTCCAGAGTCTCTACTCTTGAAGAATGTTCAAAAAGAAATCCACTTAAATTAAGAGGCTTGGCTCTCAATTCAAGCAGAAATCCGATTGAATCATGTGTATGTTGTTTTCTTTATTTATTTATATTTTCCGAAAGTCTGGACTCCAGATCCAAGAGTTTTTTTTTTTTTCCACTGAAAACTTTAGGAAATAAAGTCATAAGTGAGAATTCAGCGTGCAATATTAATTTAAAGTAAAATCAGCCGATCGAAACATGCCTCTCACGGGAAAATAAAGATTAACGTTGGTTGAATCGGCCATAAAAAAACATCCGTCAGGGAAATAAACAGTGTTTAGTTTAACGCAATTATGATTCTCCTCTGATTCGTAGATTTCATGAATATTTCAACATAAACCTAGACATGAAATAATCGTAAAAAATACTGAAATAAGTTTAATGCGCGGTTTAACTCGAATAGATTTTTTATCAGCGAGAATTTTGAATTAACGCACAAATAGAGGTAATTTCTCATCCGCGAGTTAAATTTTTGAATGTGTCCACCGTATTCTATAAAGATTTTTGATGAGGAAGCGAGTACTGCGACGCTTAGTTTTGCATATTGTCTAACGGGGATGCCCATCATAAACAGGGTTGTAAAACGTAGAATTGCCCAATGGTTTTACTGGAGATTTTGAACGTTCTGCACTCCTAAGATTGTATGAGAAACAAGAACGCCTTCATTCGTTAATACAGGCTATACAACAAATCGCCAAGCCGGAATATTTGTATTCTGGAGTTGATACTTCAGAACGTGAGACTGCTCGTTCTGTCATGTTAGGGAAAAAGGTCGTATGAGCCTTCAGGCGTTACAGACTTTTCTTAGACAAATCACAATTTTTGGGAAAATTTGTAAATATTTTTCCGAGAATTTTTTTTGTAATTAGCCCTGAAGTGTGTAAAAATATCAAAGAAAGGTATTCATAACTTTCTTCAAAAATAAATATTTTATGAGAGGAAACATTCGAACGCTTCTATGTATGGAGTTTTTCCTTAGCACGACAGCATTACCCTCGTATTTATTTTTGACGTCACTGTGGACAAAAGGGGAACTGACACTATACATTTTATTTACCGTTCATTCATCGAAATAATCATTCACAAAAAATAAAAGCAACCAAGGTTAAAATATAAGCCGCCAAGTCTCTAGTATATGGGATGGTTTCTACCCCTTCTTTTACCAAAAAATAACAAATATTAATAGAAATTTAACATAAAACCAAACGCAAACCCCTTGCCGGCAATAACAGACGATTCCATTATCAGTTCATGTTACGGTTATGCTCTTCCTCTGCGTATTAGATTATCGTGAGGACTGTACGATGGTTCCATTTACGAGCAAACGGTCATTTCAAAACGTTGAACCACGTCATGGATCATCGCCATCATCGATGAATGCTGAATGATGATAATATCCGGTTGAGGGTATGTACAGAAAATCAAATCCAAGGGTTAAGACGAAATTCCTAATAAAATTGAATAACCCGATTTTTTGACTCGTGAAGAGATGGTGGGAAAAAGCAGCCTTATCCAGGGTGAATTGAACCTAGATCTGGCTCAGAATCGGACGGTAGCAGCCTAAATCAACTAAACTACATTTTAAGAGGCCTAATTCTCTCTTTATTTACTATTTTTCTAACAGAGGACTGAACGGTTTATTCGAAGAGGGGCGCAAGCGCCACAAGTCGAATTTCGAGAAAACATGGAAAACTTCATGTCTTGGACAATTCTTCATATTTCTGTTCGAATAAATTAGTGTATGACCCAATTACCATCCGGGACAAGATCACGGTACCACGATCAGGGCCGGAAGAATCATCCAAAAAATAAAGGTTTTTAAAAATCGTGGTGGTTACGCCTTCCTTCCACCAGACCGCTGAGAACTGCCATCCAAGAAAACATGACAAAATTAACTTTATTGGATAATTCCTTATATTTATGTTAAGGAATGATGTGTGGGCGAGAGAATGCTCAACCTTTGAAGGTAACCCTGAATTAGCCATGAAAAAGAATAACATAATTAGCTTCAAACTCTCGGGAGAGGAAGAGAGCGTTTCCTGTGGTACACTCTCCGATTTTTTCAAATTTAACTCGCCTTTCTGGAATTTGCTTTCAAGGACTGAATTCCTTTTTTTCATAGACGGTTGTTAATTAAAAAGAGCAAGAG